AATTTTCGTCCACCGTTAGAGGCAGTTTTGCTGTTTTGATTAATGTTGGAATCATCGGAAGTTGAATGCTGAGGTTCAAGAGTTCCTTCGTTTCCAGTAGGTTGAGATACGACAGCACCTTCGTTTTGGTATTCAGCAGTTTCATTTTGGTTTGGCTTCTCATTTGGCAAAATTGAATCCTCGGTATTCAATTCTCGTTTATTATCCAGAAATTTCATAAACTCAAAATAAACATATGTCTTCCTTTTTTTACCTCCAGATCCAGACGGTATATTCTTTAATGTAGCCTTACACCTCACATAAGCGTCTCGCGCAGTTTTCCACCTCTGCTGCACTTGTTTGTCTGTAAAAGAAGATTAATATTTATTTTTTGTTTCAGATACTTCGTGACGGGAGAGACATTTAAAGATCTTCATTTTAGCTATCGTTTGGGGGCTTCAACTATTGGTGAAATCATTAAAGAAGTATGTAAGAAAATTTGGACTCTACTCCATGAAGAGTGTCTTTCGATACCTAATTCACAGGAAGGGTGGCTACGAATCGCTGCCGGTTTTGAAAATACAGCAAATTTCCCTAACTGCATCGGTTGTATAGACGGGAAGCATGTCAGAATAATTTGTCCTAAATATAGTGGGAGTCTGTATTCAAATTATAAAAAGTTTTATTCTATAGTTCTTTTAGCTATGTGTGACTGTGACTATCGCTACACCTATATAAATGTAGGGGCATATGGAACAGATTCTGATTCAAATATTTTTCGAAGAAGTTCATTATTTACGAAATTACACAACGGAGAAATAATATTGCCTCCACCAAAACCATTACCTCACACTACAGAACCTCTCCCATATATGATTATCGGCGATGCCGCGTTTGGTATATCGAACAAAATTTTAAGACCTTATGCACGAAGTAATCTGACACATAAGAAAAAAATATTTAATTATCGCTTAAGCCGTGCTAGAAGGTACATTGAGTCTACATTTGGAATAATGAGTAATAAATTTAAGATATTTCACAGACCAATGAATACTTCCCTACCGAATACAATAGCAATAATAAAGGCTTGTTGCCTTTTACATAACTACATTCGAGAAAGAGACGGGTACAGAATACAGGATACACTAACTGTTTTAGGGTTTGACCAATCTCTTAATACAAACAGTAATAACAGCAGATCAGGTGACACAATAAGGGATAAATTTTCCAACTATTTCGTTTCTCCCGCTGGTAGTGTACCGTGGCAAGATACGTGTATTTTTTAATTAAATAGTATTTTACAACAATAATAACGTTTTATTTACTTACCTATATCCTTTTTCTCACTCTCGGATTTATCGTCGAAATCCGGAATTAATTCTTTACAAACTTCTTGCCAAGCACTTATTCTAGCATCACGATCTTTATAAAATACATGCGATAAATCCCATATTACCGGACGAAGCCGCACTTCTGTAATAAGACGCTCTGTATCAATATTCATTTTTGCTTTGAATGTACGTACGCGCGTTCCGTCAGCGAAGCACTGAACGCAACGATACAATCTCACAGCTCGTCGTTCGACCGACGTACGCGCGACCGACGAGCCGGACCGACGGCTCGACCGACCGCTCGCGCGTACCAAATCACGCGCGTACCGTCAGCGTAGCTGTGTGCGTGTTCATAGACTTACACAGATATAGCTACGTCGTCCGACGGTCGGCGCTGACCGTCGGTCGAGCACTGTTTCCAGCCTAAAGCGTTTATATACATGCACGCCTGACAACATTCATAACGAAACGGACTTCGTGAGATAGAATATCTGTAAGACATTTTTCGTCGTCCCACTCCATGTCGTAAAAAAAATACAAGCACGTCACTACAGGTCGAGCGTCGCCGGGCAACTGAGTGCAGGCGTACTCAAGCCGCCAACATGTCGGCGGGTAACACGCGCAGACGCATGTTGCCGACATGTTTTGATCAACAAAACAAAATCTTTAGGTTTATGGCAGAAGCTCAAGCTTTATTGTACTACTGCAAAATATTTTTAGAGCATAATATTTGAAGACTGGTCAATAGCACAATTAGTTTAAACTTCGATAATAAAAAACAGACATAAACATTAGCGATCTTAGAATTTCGTATATTTGGTAATTTGTAAGCCAAGATATCATTTTACAAAAAGAAACTTAATTTGCATTAAATTAAATTCTCATTAATTACGCTACGCTTTACCTATTTGTAAAGAAAATAGAATATAATTAAAATAAGCTAAAGATTAAAAAAACGTCTATGGTTTTTATGTTTCTTCCCAAGCATTATTGGTATTTGCAATTTTTTTAGGTTTTTGTAGGTTTTTGTAGGTAATACTGACATGTTGACTAGAAAAGTACGTTTTATTAGACATTCGTACATCGGTTTCGAACATTAGAAATTCTATCATTCATCACCATTCTTCATTCTATCTGAAATATTTTATTTACATAATTTATATGTCTTCTGGTGACGAGAGCAGACCTTCATCACCAAGTTTATTACAAAATATACACCGTGCCAAGAGAATTAAGTTCTCAGTTGAACCTGTGAAAGTGACCTGTGTGTGTGAAGGAGTGAAAACAGAAATGATATCAAAGCAAACACAGGTAACGACTGAGGATATTGCAACCTCAAATATGTACCAGCGCAGTATATGGGACAAAGACGAATTAAAATGTGAAGTTTCACATTTACCTAATGTGGGTTTCGAAGAAGAGCCAAAGGACCCACGCAATAAGGCATTCGCAAGATTGGTCGCACATGAATTAGATAGTGTAAGTACCAGCGGAGAAGCGTTCGGTAACTTACACCAATATAATTAATATTATACGTAAAGTACGACACCAAAAAGACTTAGATGACACTAGTTTACCGAGCTACCAGGATTCCGATTAAGAAATAATAAATGATTGAAAAGGTTATCACTTTGATTATTGTCTAATTAATAAATATCCCAAAATAAATCATAAAATCTGTAAATTCGTTCATTTATTTATTTCAAATACTTTTCAGACGTGGCTTAATTCTTTCTTAACCCTGTGCTCTACATAAATTATATCTTAAAAACATTTTCGGAGGGATCATATAGCTTGACGAACACTATAGGAACTATATACCGAATTACCGAAACAAAACTGAAACGTCGAGTTCTCTGCACACATATATACATAATAATTAATTGAAATAATAGTATACATATATTAGAAACCTATGAGTGCAGGCTTAAGTATAAGGCGCAATTAATATTTCATAAATATATGTAATATTTAAACATATTATATCGCTTAAACATATACACAAGTAAAAATATCAAAATCATTCTTGATTTTTACTTATTTATGTTAGCGATCAATAGGTTAAATAATACAACAAGCATTTAGTAGGTAACTGTATGCTGCTTCATATCTTAATTAAACTGTCAAATACCAAGCGGTCACCGGTGACCGCAACCTATTGTTCTATAATTGTGTCTACAAAACCGGTACTCGACGAGTTAAATCGTATGTAAACAAACAACGATCGATATATCAACTTAAAAACTCTGTATAACGGCTGTATCTATTTTTTTACAACAATAATATTCTCAAAAGTAACTTATTTCTGTAAAAAATATGTTTCTTTCGGTCTACAAACACCAATACCAGGCCACACTTACAGATTTCATCGTGATTTTTAATAAGATTAATATTTGCTCAAAATTTTTAAAATAAAAGCAGATAAAAATAACTTACCTCTAAATCAAATTCGTCCAAAGATTCTGTTTCCGAAAATTCTTCGTCATCTGAGACTCCTTCTAATATGCGAAGAAGTTCTTCCGTAGTCATTAAATTCCCACTCATTATAATAGTCACTTAATATAAATCTTGAACTCGATATCACAAGTAAATTAATCATAAATATTATTCATTCACTTCACTAATTTCTGGTCGCCGCGCTTGTGACGTCACGATATTGTCGTCTAGTCGTGACCATGGCGTACAGTACTGATAATTCGGGTTGCGTTAGGGATGCGCTTGAGTTGGGATTAGTGAATATCGAAATTCGACCCAACCAAAATTTATTTTTGACTATGTAGCTTATTGAATCATTTTTAAGACTGGTTTTATAAAATTAATGCTGCTTTATCCTAGTACCAAATTATACCTAAAATAATATATTCCAGAGGAAAGTTTCGAATCGATCTTTGATTTGAAATAATGATATTATCCAACATGCGCTACATCACTAGCGGTCACGCAGTTATGACTCTGGCGTGTGAGGACATTCTTTTTTCAGAGTTTATTTCTTTCTTTTTAACCTTTTGAACGCCAGAGCGTAAACACATCGGCGCCCCTTCTACGCCAAGCCACAAATTCAGTACAAAAACCTACAAAAAAAAATAGTGATTCCAACATCTTAACGAAAAGTTATCGATAACCAATGAATCCGTGCTTTTCGTTCTATATTTTTTAAATAAATATTATTCGTTGCATTGGTATTTTATTTAATTTGGTATCATACTATTGTAACAACTTTTCCTCGTCAGGTAAATAAAACAGCTGCTATAATGATAAGAAGGTATAATAAAATATAAAGATATACGATCAAGTGGGTTCTTTAATATTCACTAAGACCAACACGTGAAAAGTCCATCAATCAATACCACTGCCCTGATAGATCGGCGAATGCTTTGTCGGCCACTAAGGTAGTCCGGTGGTCGTCGTAGCGTAGATGGTAAGTTGTTGTAGGGTAGTCCAAATAATATCAGCGAAGTCCGGCACCGGAGCGGTAAACCCTGGAATAGTGTAAACTTTCCACTTTAACACTATCCTCAATATTACATGACTGCCACACCCCTATGTGCATCCTACAAAAGCGGCGTGATACTAAGAGGCACAGGTGGTAAGGATTACATAAAATAGTGATCAAAGATGAGGCAGTCAATGTACACAAAAGCAGCAGAAAGATAGCCAGTATAAAAATATATGACACTACAAGCTACTAATTGAACTAACACTAATTTATAGCAAGGTAGTTTAATGAGAAAATGAGCCCAACGCATATTTATAAGATTTACAATTGTACTGAGATAGCCTTACTTAATAGATATAATTTTGGTGAAAACGATACAATAAATTTTTATAAACTTCAACAGCCGCGCAAGTACTAGATATATGTTTCGATTAGGGTTGCCAGATAGGAACTTATCAAATCCGGGACAGTTCTAAAAAAAAAAAAAAATGTCGGGTCGTGGCCATAATATAAAATATCATATATTTTTTTTATTTTCAAAGGATTCATATTTATATTTAAAAGATGAAATGCCAT